GTTTCTCCCTCTGCCTCTCCCTTACCCAACTTGTGGTCTCTCTCTCTCACACTCTCTCTCTCTCAAGTAAAAATGAAATCTTAAAAAAAAAAACCAAAAAACCAAAGAGGTAAAGGATCTGTACTCTAAAAACTAGACAACATTTATGAGTGAAATTTGAGGTAAACACAAAGAAATGGAAAAACATTCCATGCTCATGGATTGGAAGAACAAATATTCTTAAAATGTCTATGCTACCTACAGCAATCTACACATTCAAGGCAGTCCCTATGAAAATATCAACTTTTTTCACAGAGCTGGAACAAATAATCCTAAAATTTGTATGGAACCACAGAAGACCCCGAATTGCCAGAGGAATGTTGAAAAGGAAAACCCAAGCTGGTGGCATCACAATGCCAGACTTCAAGCTATATTACAAAGCTGTAATCATTAAGACAGTATGGTACTGGCACAAAAACAGACACATAGATCAATGGAACAGAATAGAAAGCCCAGAAATGGACCCTCAAATCTATGGTCAACTACTCTTCGACAGAGCGGGAAGAATATCCAATGGAAAAAAGACAGTGTCTTCAACAAATGGTGTTGGGAAAATTGGACAGCCACATACAGAAGAATGAAACTAGACCATTGTCTTACACCATACACAAAGATAAATTCAAAATGGATGAAAGACCTAAATGTGAGATAGGAATCCATCCAAATCCTAGAGGAGAACACAGATAGCAACCTCTTTGACCTCGGCTGTAGCAACTTCTTGCTAGACACGTCTCCAAAGGCAAGGGAAACAAAAGCAAGAATGAACTATTGGGACTTCATCAAGATAGAAAGCTTCTGCATAGCAAAGGAAACAGTTAACAAAACTAAAAGGCAACCTATGAAATGGGTGAAGATATTTGCAAATGACTTCAGATAAAGGGCTAGTATCCAAGATCTATAAAGAACTTATCAAACTCAATACTCAGAAACCAAACAATCCAGTCAAGAAATGGGCAGAAGACATCAACAGACATTTCTCCAAAGAAGACATACAGATGGCCAACAGACACATGAAAAAATGCTCACCATCACTTGATACCAAGGAAATACAAATCAAAACCACAATGAGATACCACCTCACACCAGTCAGAATGGCTAAAATTAGTAAGTCAGGAAACAACAAATGTTGGTGAGGATGTGGAGAAAGGGGAACCCTCTTACACTGTTGGTGGGAAAGCAAGCTGGTACAGCCACCCTAGAAAACAGTATGGAGGTTCCTCAAAAACTTAAAAATAGAACTACCCTGTGACCCACCAATTGCACTATTAGGTATTTACCCCAAAGATTCAAATGTAGTGATCTGAAGGGGTACCTGCACCCCAGTGTTTATAGCAGCAATGTCCACAATAGCTAAACTGTGGAGGGAGCCCAGATGTCCATCGACAGATGAATGGATAAAGATGCGGTATACACACACACACACACACACACACACACACACGATGGAATATTACTCGGCCATCAAAAGGATGAAATCTTACCATTACGTCGACATGGATGGAACTGGAGGGTACTCTGCTGAGTGAAATAAGTCAGTCAGAGAAAGACAATTATCATATGGTTTCACTCATATGTGGAATATAAGAAATAGTGCAGAGGATCATAGGGGAAAGGGGGAAAACTAAATGGGAAGAAATCAGAGAGGGAGACATACCATGAGAGACTCTTAACTATGGGAAACAAACTGAGGGTTGCTAGAGGGGAGGGCAGTGGAGGGGTGGGGTAACTGGGTGAGAGGCATTGAGGAGGGCCCCGTGATGTGATGAGCACTGGGTGTTATATGCAACTGATGAATTACTGAACTCTACATCTGATACTAATGATGTACTGTATGTTGGCTAATTGAATTTAAATTAAAAAAAAAGTTTGCCTAAGTATTTTATTCTTTTTGATGCTACTGTGAATGGAATTATTTTCTTTTCTTTCTTTCTTTTTTTTTTTTTTTTTTAGATTTTATTTTTTGACAGAGGGAGACCCAGCGAGAGAGGGAACATAAGCAGTGGGAGTAGGAAAGGGAGAAGCAGGCTTCCGCCTGAGCAGGGAGCCCGATGCGGGGCTCAATCCCAGGACTCTGGGATCATGACCTGAGCCGAAGGCAGACACTTAACGACAGCCACCCAGGCACCCCTGGAATTGTTTTCTTAATTTTGGTTTTGGGTTGCTCATTGCCAGTGTCTAGAAATACAAATAACTTTTTGTATATTGATCTTCTATCCTGCAACCTTGCTGAACTCAATCCTGAGTTCTCATAGTTTTTTAATCCAGTCACCCCTCAGAAGGCTTGTCCCTTAGTTCAGGTCTACTTTTCATCCTGTCCTGCCCAGCATTCCCATGCTACTGTGAGGCTGTAGTTTTAGGTACAACAGGCTTTTAACATCCGGGCTGGAGGGCTAAATTCCTAGACATTGGGCTACAGAGTTGGGTGAGTTGCTGGCTGAGAGCTAGGTTGATTTATAACTTCTAAATATTTCATCATGCTATGTGGTCTCCATTTGTACTTTTTACCCTGGATCCCACATATCACACGGATGGGCTTGTTTTCTGTCTATAACTTTACTGCCTTACCACTCCCACCACTATCCACTTGCCTTTAGTCTAATGCATAATATTCTATTATTAGAATATTCATTCTCTCTGGTTAAGGCATTATTCCTTTAAGACTCCCCTTTATCAGGGACAGATTGTTGAAATGAGGCTGGAGGACTGACCACTTGTCAGGCACAGTGTAAAGTAAATGTGATTAAATGAGGAATGTCTTTTTTGAGGGGAAGGAGGAGGAATCATGATCAGGAGAGGTATAATGCCTGTTCCTCTTTAAATGGAATAAATGAAAGGTAAACTTTCTTTCTTAAAATCTTAATTGAAGAGAAATCTAGGATTTTCTCCAAAATGATTTTTCCCTACCCATTTTATTTTCCTTTTTTTATTATTTTTATGATGTATTAAATTGAACCATTTACTTGCAGTGTCCTAGTTAAGACAATTTCCTTAGCATTTGCTGAATGATTTGGCAGGTTAGACATCCTAGAGCTAAATTGTAAAATCCCATTAAAACCTAGTCATATAACAATAAAAGATGCTGCCTGGTGTACTCCATGACACGTTATGGTGAGGTCTCATCACATTGCAATAACAAATGCCAAAAAGAAATGACCACTGTGTAAAAGAATATGATGAAGAAAAAGAAGTATATTAGTGATGCAGCCAACTGCATTTAATTAAATCCCATGTCCAAATTACTTCCCTGATTGGCATGTAAAAAGAAAACATGTTTACTGTGATAGTTCAAGTAGCACAGTTGTTGTTTTAGCATGCAGGCCTTTTAGCCTCTCCCCCCCTCCTTTTCCTCTCATTGAGTTTCTTGCCACCTCAAGATGAAGGAGGTATTCCTGAAGGCTCTCATCACTCAGGTGGAGAAGCATGTTCACATGGGTAAGTAGTTTCCCCAGGTCACAAGCTAGCAAAGAGCAAAGCTGGAATCAAGTGAGGTCAGGATAATTCCAGAGTCTGTGCTCTTTCATCTATGCCAAGGGTTGGCAAAGTACAGCCCACAGGCCAAGTCTGGCCAGCTCTCTGTTTTTATACAGTCCACGAGCTAAGAATGGTTATTATATTTTTAAATGGTTGAAACAATTGAAAGAACAATATTTCATACCATGAGAAAATGATATGAAGTTCAAATTTAAATGTCCATATATAATGTGTTAATGGAACATGGCCACATCCATTCATTTATGTGTTGTCTATGGCTGCTTTCGCACTGCAATTGTGGAGTTGAGTAGTTGTAACAGAAGTTGTATGGCTGGCCCTTTAGAGAAAAAGTTTGACTGCAACACCCCTCGCATTCTAAATTATACATTAAAATGAAGGCTGGTGTCCAGAGATTTGTGTATTTTTAATAAATCCTCAATGTCATTTTGAACACTTCTCAAAGTAATTATTATTATTACTGTCTTACATCGTGATTATTTGTGTATTTCCTTCCTTTTCCCATCACTCCTTGCAGGCTAGGACTATGCTGAGGTATCTTTGAATGAATAAAGGAGGGTGGAGTTCATGTATTGATTCATTAGGCATAAAGTCCTAAGTTTCTACCATATGCCAGGTACTTGTCAGTGATAAAACAGATTACCTCCAGTCTGAGGAGACAAGTAAAAGGGCTTTGGTAAAGGTACATGCTAAGAGGCTTATTTTAATTAAGTAGAATAATACTTGGTATTCATAAGACCCTTGTGTTAGAAGGTAGAGGAGGGTCAGTAAAGTATCCTTCTGGGTATGCATTTTGAGACAAAAATGAAGCAAGCCATTCCATACCATTTACACAGAGTTTTATTTAAGATAACTTACTGATAGAGGGGATTAGGCTGACAGACGATCCAGGGGGTACACAGGAATCCTCTACCCCCCATTCTCTGCCCAATCCAGACCTTAATCCCCAGCTTTTGTGGAATGAAGGGCATGGTGGTGGGGTCACAGGTACTTATCTAAAGTGGAGCCTTCTGTGTGCCACTTTAGGGAAGATCAGAGCAAGCCTTCCCACATTCCAGTCAGGATATACATTAATCTCCACAGGGGCCTGGAGTGCACAGCCCCGACCAAGGTCATTGCATGGGCATGAACAAAATGGAGGGCAAAGATGGATTCAGTGTGGTTGGCACTCTTTCACCCTTCCAATGTCAACGATTAAATTTCTTTGGTTCCACATTCTCCAGAATAGATCACATCCTGGGTCACAAATCAGGTCTCAACCAGTACCAAAAGATTGGGATTATTCCCTGCATATTTTTGGACCACAGTGCTTTGAAACTAGAACTCAATCACAAAAGGAAGTTTGGAAGTAACTCAAATACTTGGAGGTTAAAGAGCATCCTACTAAAGAATGAATGGGTCGGTACTTGTGACGCTGCTTTCCCTCTCCCACAATACCTTGTGCTCTTCCTTTCCATCCAGGGCCTGGAAGAATGGCTCCCACAAAGAAAGGTGGCGAGAAGAAGGGCCGTTCTGTCATCAATGAGGTAGTGACCAGAGAATACACCATTAACATTCACAAGCACATCCATGGAGTAGGTTTCAAGAAGCGTGCACCTTGGGCACTCAAAGAAATCCGGAAATTTGCCATGAAGGAGATGGGAACTCCAGATGTGTGCATTGACACCAGGCTCTCAAAATCTTTGGGATGCAGCAAAGGCAGTCCTAAGAGGAAAGTATATAGCAATACAAGCCTTTCTCAAGAAATGAGAAAGGTCTCAAATACACAACCTAACCCTACACCTAAAGGAGCTGGGGAAAGAACAGCAAATAAAGCCTAAACCCAGCAGGAGAAGAGAAATAATAAAGATCAGAGCAGAAATCAATGAAATAGAAACTAAAAGAACAGTAGAACAGATCAATGAAACTAGGAGCTGGTTCTTTGAAAGAATTTAATAAGATTGATAAAGCCTTGGCCAAACTTATCAAAAAGCAAAGAGAAAGGACCCAAATAAATAAAATCATGAATGAAAGAGGAGAGATCACACCCAACACCAAAGAAATACAAACAGTTATAAGAACATATTATGAGCAACTATATGCCAGCAAATTAGATAATCTGGAAGAAATGGATGCATTCCTAGAAATGTATAAACTACCAAACTGAACCAGAGAGAAATAGAAAACCTGAAGAGACCCATAACCCACTAAGGAAAGTGAAGCAGTCATCAAAAATCTCCCAACAAACAAGAGCCCAGGCCAGATGGCTTCCCAGGGGAATTCTACCAAACATTTAAAGAAGAATTAATACCTATTCTTTTGAAACTGTTCCAAAAAATAGAAATGGAAGGAAAACTTCCAAACTCATTCTATGAGGCCACCATTACCTTGATCCCAAAACCAGACAAAGACCCCATCAAAAAGGAGAATTACAGATCAATATCCCTGATGAACATTGATGCCAAAATTCTCACCAAGATACTAGCCAATGGGATCCAACAGTACATTAAAAGGATTATTCACCATGACCAAGTGGGCTTTATATTTGGGCTGCAAGGGTGGTTCAATATCTACAAATCAATCAACATGATACATCACATTAATAAAAGAAAGGACAAGAACCATATGACACTCTCAATAGACGCAGAAAAAGCATTTGACAAAGTACAGCATCCTTTCTTGATTAAAACTATTGACAGTGTAGGGATAGAGGGAACATCCCTCAATATCATAAAAGCCATCTATGAAAAACACACAGAATATCATTCTCAATGGGGAAAAACTGAGAGCTTTTCCCCAGGAACACGGCAGGGATATCCACTGTCACCACTGTTGTTCAACATAGTACTAGAAGTCCTAGCCACAGCAATCAGACAACAAAAAGAAAAGGCATCCAAATCAGCAAAGAAGTCAAACTCTCACTCTTTGCAGATGATATGATACTTTATGTGGAAAACCCCAAAGACTCCACACCAAAACTGCTAGAACTCATACAGGAATTCAGTAAAGTGGCAGGATATAAAATCAATGCACAGAAATCAGTGGCATTCCTATATACCAACAACAAGACAGACGAGAGAGAAATTAAGGAGTCGATCCCATTTACAATTGACCCAAAACCATAAGATACCTAGGAATAAATCTAACCAAAATGGCAAAGAATGTGTACTCAGAAAACTATAAAATACTCATGAAAGAAATTAAAGAAGACACAAAGAAATGGAAAAACGTTCCATGCTATGGATTGGAAGAACAAATATTGTGAAGATATCAATGCTACCTAGAGCAATCTACACATTCAAAGCAATGCCTATCAAAATACCATCAATTTTTTTCAAAGAAATGGAACAAATAATCCTAAAATTTGTATGGAACCAGAAAAGACCCCGAGTAGCCTGAGGAATGTTGAAAAAGCAAAGCAAAGCTGGCGGCATCACAATTCCAGACTTCAAGCTCTATTACAAAGCTGTCATCATCAAGACAGTATGGTACTGGCACAAAAACAGACACATAGATCAATGGAACAGAATAGAGAGCCCAGAAATGGACCCTCAACTCTATGGTCAGCTAATCTTCGACAAAGCAGGAAAGAATGTCCAATGGAAAAAAGACAGTCTCTTCAACAAATGGTGTTGAAAATTGGACAGCCACATGCAGAAGAATGAAACTGGACCATTTCCTTACACCACACACAAAAATAGACTCCAAATGGTTGAAACCCCTCAATGTGAGACAGGAGTCCATCAAAATCCTAAAGGAGAACATAGGCAGCAACCTCTTCAACCTCAGCCGCAGCAAATTCTTCCTTGAAACATCGCCAAAAGCAAGGGAAGCAAGGGCAAAAATGAACTATTGGGACTTCATCAAGATAAAAAGCTTTTGCACAGCAAAAGAAACAGTCAACAAAACCAAAAGACAACCGACAGAATGGGAGAAGATACTTGCAAATGACATATCAGATAAAGGGCTAGTATCCAAAATCTATAAAGAACTTATCAAGCTCAACACCCAAAGAACAAATAATCCAATCAAGAAATGGGCAGAAGACATGAAAAGACATTTCTGCAAAGAAGACATCCAAATGGCCAACAGACACATGAAAAAGTGCTTAACATCCCTCGGCATCAGGGAAATCTAAATCAAAACCTCAATGAGATACCACCTCACACCAGTCAGAATGGCACAAATTACAAGTCAGGAACCGACAGATGTTGGTGAGGATGTGGAGGAAGGAGAACCCTCCTACACTGTTGGTGGGAATGCAAGCTGGTATAGCCACCCTGGAAAACAGTATGGAGTTTCCTCAAAAAGTTGAAAATATAACTACTCTATGACCCAGCAACTGCACTACTGGGTATTTACCCCAGAGATAAAATGTAGTGATCTGAAGAGGCATGTGCACCCCAATGTTTATAGCAGCAATGTCCACAACAGCCCAACTGTGGAAAGAGCCTAGATGTTCATCAACAGATGAATGGATAAAGAAGTGGTATATATATACAATGGAATATTACTTAGCCATCAAAAAAAAATATGAAAGCTTGCCATTTGCAACGACATGGATGGAACTGGAGGGTATTATGCTAAGCGAAATCAGTCAATCAGAGAAATACAGTATCATATGATCTCACTGATACATGGAATTCTTAATCTCAAGAAATAAACTGAGGGTTGCTGGAGTGGTGGAGGTGGGAGGGATGGGGTGGCTGGGTGATGGACATTGTGGAGAGTGTGTGCTATGGTGAGCGCTGTGAATTGTGGAAGACAGATGAATCACAAACCTGTACCCCTGAAACAAATAATATATGTTAATAAAAAAAATTTCTCTTGGGCGCCTGGGTGGCTCAGTTGGTTAAGCGACTGCCTTCGGCTCAGGTCATGATCCTGGAGTCCCTGGATCGAGTCCCACATCGGGCTCCCTGCTCGGCAGGCAGCCTGCTTCTCCCTCTGACCCTCCCCCCTCTCATGTGCTCTCTCTCTCTCATTCTCTCTGTCTCAAATAAATAAATAAAATCTTTAAAAAAAAAATTTCTCTTTGGTTCCATTAAAGTATTAGATGTATCTTATAAAATTTAAGGGTTTATAACACTGGTAGTACAAAATCAAGCTGCAATATATAGGTATCATTGGAACTTGGGGGCGAGAAAACAGGATGTTATCCAAATAGTAATCCTCCCTTATCTCTGGTTTTGCTTTCCATGGTTTTAATTAACCTGTAGTCAACCATGGTCCAGAAGCAGGTGATCTCCTTTTTGACTTATTGTCCAATGGTGAGTAGAAGCCTAACACTAGGTCAAAATGCCTGCATCATTCACTTCACTTTATCTCATCATGTTGGCATTTTATCATCTCACATCATTACACAAGGGTGAGTACATTCCAATAAAATATTTTGAGAGGGGACACAACAGTCACATAACTTTTATTACAGGATATTGTTATAATTGTTATATTTTATTATTATTGTTAATTGTGCCTAATTTATAAATTAAACTGTATCATAGGCACACATGTATGTATAGGGAAAAAAACAGTATACTGTTGACCCTTGAACAACATGGGGTTAGGGGTACCAACCCCCTGCACAGTTGAAAATCTGCCTAAACTTTTGAGTCCCCCAAAACTTAACTAATAGTGGGGAGCCTGGGTACCTTAGTCAGTTAAGCATCTGACTCTTGATTTTGGCTCAGGTCATGATCTCAGGGTTGTAAGATCAAGCCCCATGTCGGGCTCTATGCTCAGCGTGGAGTCTGCTTATCCCTCTCCCTCGGCACCCCCCTCCACCCCCCCCGTCTCACTCACTCTCTCTCAAATAAATAAATAAATAAATAAATAAAAAGTATTAAAAAAAAAAACCTTAACTAGTAGCCTACTGTTAGACTGGAAGCCTTAACTGATAACATAAACAGTTGATTAACACATATTTTAATGTTATATGCACTATATACTCTATTCTTAAAATAAAGGATGCTAGAGAAAAAAAACTGTTAAGAAAATCATATGGGAGAGAAAATATATTTACAATACTGTACTGTATAAACAACAACAACAACCCTGTATATAAGTGGATTTATGCAGTTCAAACCTGTGTTGTTCAAGGGTTAACGCTATAGAGGGTTTGGTACTATCCATGATTTCAGGTATCCACTGAGGATCTTAGAATGTATCTGCCATAGATAAGGGTGGGGGGACTACTGTATTTAGAATGGAATGGTGAAATGGTGTGAATCCTTGGGACTCATTTATACAGCTGTTGTCTGCCTATAAGGAAGGAAACAGATGGATGTCATTATACTATAGGTAGAACCAGATAGAGCCCATTTTCACTCCAATAGGAAGGTGTCTGAAGATCAATTTTCACACTTAGTATTGTTATGATATGTACAATGTTGTGTTGAATTAACCTAATGGATTTTAAAGTATTTTTAGAATTTGGACTTAATTATAATTTTCTAGGAACGGTTTAAAGCCCACTTTGTCAATATGCTAGGGTAGCATATTAGAATGGGAAAATAAATTTTCAGTTGTAATTTTGCCTCCATATTTTGGTCATGGAAGGAGCAGCTGTTACCACATTGCCAGAGCAGTCAATTTTTGAGAAATAGTAGTTGATTCTATAAAGAGCTGAAAGTAGAAAATTAGAATGTTGTTGCAAACAAAAACAAAAACAAAAAACCAACAGCACCAGGGTGCCTGGGTGGCTCAGTCGTTTAAGCAACCAACTCTTGATTTCAGCTCAGGTCATAATCCCAGGGTCCTAGGATTGGGCTTTGCATTGGGCTCCATGCTCAGCACAGAGTCTGCTTAACCCTCTCCCTCTGTTCTTCTTCCTGCTCTCTCTCTCTCAAATAAATAAATAAAATCTTTTAAAAAAAAACCCAAAACCCACCCCAAACCCAACTTTAAAAAAGACCACTTTTCTGTAGATTTATGTATTAACTATCTATAGTTGTGTATAAATTACACAAACTTAGCTCAAAACAAGAAATACTTTTTATCTCATAGTTTCTATATCTCAGGAATCCAGGTATGGATTGGGTGGGTAACTGACTCAGGATGTCTCACAAGATTACATGGCCAAGGCTGACCACAGTCATCTGTAGAGTCAACTAAGGCTGGAGAATCTACTTTCAGGCTCACTCATATATGTGGTGGCAGGATCCAGTTGCTCATGGGACATTGGACTAAGGGCCTCAGTTCCTCGCTGGAAGATGGCCAGAGGTCTCCTCAGTTCCTGGCCACCTGTACCCTTTCACAGGGCAGCTCACAACATGGCAGCCAGCTTCCATCAGAGAGAGCTAGAAGACAAGTAGGAAATCCGAGTCATGTTGTAACCTAAACACAGAAGTGGCATTCCATTACTTATTTATTACAAGTAAGTGACTATATCCAGCCAACCTTCAAGGAGAGGGACTTTGCACAAGGGCATGCCTACCAAGAGGTAGTAAAAATGCAATTGAATTTTTTCAGATTACTAAAGTAATACATACAGAAAAAAATTTACCCCTTGAGGGGTGCCTGGGTATCACAGTTGGTTAAGCATCCAACTTTTGGTTTTGGCTCAACTGTGAGATTGAGCCCCATGTCAGGCTCCATGCAGAGGGTGGAGTCTACCTCATATTCTCTCTCCCTCTCCCTTCCCCCTGCTCCCTCTGCCCCCTCCGCTCACTTGCATGCTCTCTCTCAAATAAATAAATACAATCTTTATTTTTTTGTAAATATTGTATTTATTTATTTGATAGAGACACAGCGAGAGAGGGAACACAAACAGGGGGAGTGGGAGAGGGAGAAGTAGGCTTCCTGCTGAGCAGGAAGTCCCTGCCGGGACTTGATCCCAGGACCCTGGGATTATGACGTGAGCCGAAGGCAGCCACTTAACGGCTGAGCCACCCAGACTCCCCTAAATACAATCTTTAAAAAAAAAAATGTAGTCATTGAGAAACATCATGCATTGATAATGTATTTATCAAGTGCCTACTGTGTGCCGGGCATGGGACAAAACAACACAAGGAAATTTCCTTGCCTTCCTGTCACTTATATTCTGGAGAGCCTAAAGCATTTAGAAGCTTACTGCAGGGCTGGGTACACAAGAAGGCTCTCAAAGATGTTAGTTATTTTTATTTTTGCAGAGTAGACATCCTGTCACAGAAATAAAGCCAAGCTACCCAGTCTGTGGCATCTCTAATTCTATTGTAGACAGATATGATTTGCTTAACCAGAGCAGAAATGGCCTTTCTTTCACTTATGCTTGAAAGAGGCAATTGATAATAGTTTGCAACACTACATGCTTGTAACTGACTTTCTTGTATTTGTGTTTTTAAAGTGGCCTTTGCAAAAAACAAAAAACAAAAACGAAAACCACAACCTACAACAAAAACCACTAAAGAGACCCACAGAAGTAGCTGTGCTGGTAGTTTTCCTGGAGCATCCTGATGACCACCCTATCCTTTTGTACTACCTGTGCCTAGTTGACCTAACATCTTCCAGCTCTGAATTAGTTTAATTGCTTCTTTTCTGGATGTATCTTTTCAGTCTCTCAAGTGTGCTTTTAAAAATGGGCTTCTTGAACTACAAACAAGATTTCAAATGTGTGTCTAGTCATGCCAGTATTCTGCAATTGCTTTCTCTAATGAATATTCCAAATCTCAAAAACTGTCTCAAGATTTTAATTTACTTTTGTCACCTCCATCTCAATCAGGTACTGTGCTGGCCATTCTTGTACATTATTAATAAACCATGTGTACGGTGCTTTTTCTCCCCCTGCCTAATGTTTAGTTCTTTCTTGAACTTTGCTTTGAATGACAATTGAAGGATAATTTATTGTACTGGGCTTCCAACACCAGTATAGTCAGCTATAGTTTGCTGTACTAATTAGGAAAAAACTGTCAATCAAAGCTGTTACTTACTTGTGAGAACAGACATAGCTTATTTGTCCTGTACATAGGTTCCTTCATATAGTGTCTAACTAACCAAAGCCCCTACAGCACCAAGAGTGGTATCCTAACAACTCTGAGTTATACAATATTTTTATTAAAATGTTGATTTAATCTCCCAGGTTTAGAAATACATTTCCAAAATATATTTTCCAAGTATAATAAAAGGATAAGAATTTTGATGAATACAGTAGTTGTTCATTAAAATGGATTCTTTGAAAGCATTCTTGAAAATACTTGGCTATAGTTCTTCATCATTCTCTGTTATTAACCCCACAGATTCTGCTGAATTAAATTTATCCTAGACCCTTTCCAAGAAATTGCTCATGAGTTGCCATCAAATTAGTATCATCGGTACAGTGGTAGTCGTCCATCTGAAGCCCTTTGATTTTCTCTGTGGATGGATCTACCCATGAGACTTCTAGATATAGAACGTCTATTTGTAGCAATGTTGACTTTCCCCTGTTCAAACAGAGCATTTTGAATGCTCTTTATAATTTCATATACCCATCTGAAAGTGGTAGCATAGTCAACTTCTACTCAGATCACCTAGGTGCATGAAAAACACTGGACATGCAGTTGCTTTCACTAATGAATGAAAAGAAAACACATCATGAAGAAGGATCACTGAAGGAGACACACGTAATACCTCTAGGGTTATTCCCCCCCCCCCCCCCCCAGTTATTAGAACACTGGAGTCTAAAGATAGCAGAGTCACAAGAACAAATATTGGGGGTTTGTTATCTTTCAAGCTAGGTAGTGATAGCCAGAGGAAAGTGGATGGATTTTCAGGAAATCATCTGGTTGTTTTGGGTATGCCAGGATGGTCATCTTCCTCCCCCAGCACACACTGAGCCACCCAATAATGATATTTTCCTGTGGCCTCTGACATACTGTGTTCTTGCCATTATGCCATCTTTCTGTTAGGGATTCTCAACTCCCAATCTAAGGCACTTCTGAAATAACTATTCATCCTTGTGCCAATCATGTATGTGCTCCCCTTCAGACCTGCTCCCTCTCTGCCTCTGCTCTGTTCGGTGTCCAGATTGCCAACCCCTACAAATGGTATTTCCCTAACTCCTCTGACAAGTGGCTTGTGGCTGAGTTTGGCCACTGGGAGGCACTGGAAGGGAACTAGAGGGAAGGAGGAGGGGACAAGCCAATGTATTTTTCTCTCTCTCTTTCTACCTGGGGTGGAGATGACAGTCCATCGCTGGCTGTATCTCCTGAATGGTTCATGCTCTCTGTGGGATACTCCTTCCCTCTTTGGTCCAATGTCCCATTGAGCAGCTCCAGCTTTTGGGCTCTGGTAATACCATGTACTCTCTTTGTGCCACCTGTCCTCAGGTAGTAGCTGCTTTCTGCTATTGCAAATCGTGGGGTGGCTTCACTGTTCTCTGTTTAGCTTTTCAGCTCGTCTAACCTTTTGTAACTAGTTGTCTGTATTAAATTTCTTTTTCATACTTCCTGACATGAAGACTTCAGCTTCTGGGAAGATGGAATAACATACTTTACCCTATTTCTACTCTAAGGAAAAGCCGTAGAAATAATGTAATGTAATGTAATATAATAGTTATATGATGTATATTATAAATATAAATTATATATTATATAATTATTATTATGCTATAGCATATTATATTACAAATTTAAAACAAATCTAAGAAGACTATGAAAGGTGGAGAGAAGGCAGACTGGCCAGGGACCGCAGGACCCAAATAACAACATGGCGGTGAGTCCCCTTAGGCTTTCTTTTTTCTCTCATATGTCCCAGACAGCTGCTGAAGAAACTGGCAGTTCCAAACCACCATGCAAATCAAATGAGCCACAGGGAAAGCCTGTTTTCTTTAACCAAAGGACCAGGAAAGGGCAGCCTAGCAAGACAGAAAACTTTCAGAAAACAATGGCTGTAAAGAAGAAATTGTTGCCCTACGCTTATCCCTGTCTGCACCAATGGTGTGAGGAGCCAAGCCCCAAACTCGCCAGGCTATCACTGAGGTGCCAGCACACAGCTCCAAAATACATGAAATGAAAGATGAAGTGAACAAATCCACAATTACACCTGAAAATTTAGCGGATGGAAGAGCTACACAGAAAATCAGTAAGGATATAGAAGAACTGAAAACCACCGACCTCCAGAATCAAACCAACATTCATAGAACACACCACCCAACAAGAGCAGAATAATATGGGGGCGCCTGGATGGCTCAGTCATTAAGCGTCTGCCTTTGGCTCAGGTCATGATCCCAGGGTCCTGGGATCGAGCCCCACATCAGGCTCCCTGCTCTGCAGGAAGACTGCTTCTCCCTCTCCCACTCCCCCTGCTTATGTTTGCTCTCTCGCTATGTCTCACTCTGTCAAATAAATAAATAAAATCTTTAAAAAAACAAAAAGAGCAGAATAATATGTACACTTTGTGAGTGCCCATGGTACATATGCCAATGTAAGACACATGTTGGGCCATAAAACAAACTTCAACAAATTTAGAAGAACTGGAGCATGTTCTTCAACCACAAAGGAATCAGACCAGAAACCAATATCAGAAAGATAACAGAAAAATTTCCAAACACTTGGAAACTAAGCAACACACTTCTAACTAATCCATGGGCCAAAAGGGAAGTCTCAAGGGAAATTAAAAAGAAAAAACAGGGGCGCATGGGTGGTTCAGTTGATTAAGCGGTTAAATGTCTGCCTTCAGCTCAGGTCATGATCCTGGGGTCCTGGGATGGAGCCCCACATTGGGCTTCCTGCTCAGCGGTGAGCCTCCTTCTCCCACTTTCTCTGCCTCTCCCCCTCCCCCCTGCTCATGCTCTCTCTCTCTCTCAAATAAATAAATAAATTAAATCTTTAAAAAAAAAAAAAAGAAAAACAACATTGTACCAAATGAAAGATTTTTTTTTTTGAAGTTATTATTATTTTTTTTTATTATGTTATGTTAGTCACCATACAATACATCATTAGTTTTTGATGTAGTGATCCACGATCCATTGTTTTCGTATAACACCCAGTGCTCCATGCAGTACGTGCCCTCCTTAATACCCATCACCGGGCTAACCAATCCCCCCTCCCCACTAAAACCCTGTTTGTTTCTCAGGTCCATAGTCTCTCATGGTTCATCTCTCCCTCCAATTACCCCCGCCCATTTTTCCCTTCCTTCTCCTAATGTCCTCCATGTTATTCCTTATGTTCCACAAATAAGTGAAACCATATGATAACTGACTTTCTCTGCTTGACTTATTTCACTTAGCATAATCTCCTCCAGTCCCATCCATGTTGATGTAAAAGTTGGGTATTCATCTTTTCTGATGGCTGAGTAATATTCCATTGTATATATGGACCACATTTTCTTTATCCATTCATCTGTTGAAGGGCATCTCGGCTCTTTCCACAGTTTGGCTATTGTGGACATTGCTGCTATGAACATTGGGGTGCATATGGCCCTTCTTTTCACTACATCTGTGTCTTTGGGGTAAATACCCAGTAGTGCAATTGCTGGGTCATAGGGTAGCTCTATTTTTAACTTTTTGAGGAACCTCCATACTGTTTTCCAAAGTGGCTGTACCAACTTGCATTCCCACCAACAGTGTAAGAGGGTTCCCGTTCTTCCACAACGTCTCCAACATTGGTTGTTTCTTTCCCTGTCCATTTTGGCCATTCTAACTGGTGTAAGGTGGTATCTCAGTGTGGTTTTGATTTGGATTTCCCTGATGGCTAATGATGATGAACATTTTTTCATGTGTCTGTTAGCCATTTGTATGTCTTCTTCAGAGAAGTGTCTGTTCATCTCTTCTGCCCACTTTTTGACTTGATTATTTGTTTTTTGGGTGTTGAGTTTGAGAAGTTCTTTATAGATTTTGGATACCAGCCCTTTATCTGTAGTGTCATTTGCAAATATCTTCTCCCATTCTGTGGGTTGCCTCTTTGTTTTATTGACTGTTTCCTTTGCTGTGCAGAAGCTTTTTATCTTGATGAAGTCCCAAAAGTTCATTTTTGCTTTTGTTTCATTAGCTTTTGGAGATGTATCTTGAAAGAAGTTGCTGTGGCCGATGTCAAAGAGGTTACTGCCTATGTTCTCCTCTAGGATTTTGATGGATTCCTGTCTCACATTGAGGTCTTTTATCCACTTTGAGTTTATCTTTGTGAATGGTGTTAGAGAATGCTCGAGTTTCATTCTTCTGCATGTGGCTGTCCAATATTCCCAGCACCATTTATTGAAGAGACTGTCTTTTTTCCATTGCATATTTTTTCCTGCTTTGTCCAAGATTATTTGACCATAGAGTTGAGGGTCCATATCTGGGCTCTCTATTCTGTTCCATTGGTCTATATGTCTGTTTCTGTGCCAGTACCATGCAGTCTTGGTGATCACAGCTTTGTAATAGAGTTTGAAATCGGGCAACGTGATGCCCCCAGCTTTGTTTTTCTTTTTCAACATCTCCTTGGCGATTCGGGGTCTTTTCTGATTCCATACAAATTTTAGGATTGTTTGTTCCAGCACTTTGAAAAATGTCATTGGAATTTTGATCGGGATGGCGTTGAAAGTATAGATTGCTCTGGGTAGCATAGACATTTT